TGCCTGGCTACTGGTGTCTCTCCACCTACCCAAGAGATGCTTCGGCAAGGCACTGGGATACCAGTGGTCCCCAGACCTGTCCCTGGACCCTGTGGGCCAAGTAGACAAGGCCTGAGTCCTCACACACAGAAGCACATGGAAACTCTCACCTCTCAGCCACAGAGGCTGACAACTTGTTCATGGGCCCTGGGGGCTGGTTGACCTGGGTTCAAATCCTGTCTCTAAGCCTCAGTTTCTGCAGCCATGGAAAGGATACTATTGGTAGTGTCCTGTGGCTGTCATAGCAAAGTGTCACAAACTGGGTGGCTTTAATGACAGACACTTGTCTTCTCACAGTTCTGGAACTGCAAGTCCTAAATCATGCTGGCAATTGGGACTTTGCAGTTTACTAAGTTAAGATGAGCTCATTAGGGTGGGCCTGGTCCATTAGGACTGTGTCCTATGAAAAGGTGGAAATTGGATACAGGGACAGGGACAATCCCTGTTGGCAGGGTCAGTGCCCTCAGAAGGCTGTGACAAGCTCTTTCATCAGAAAGCTCTCTTAGCTTCTGATGGTTTGTTGGAAGTCCTGGGTGTTCCCTGGCTGTGGTCACAGAACTCAGATCTTCCAAAGTAAAAGAAATTTATTTAGCTTATAGCTCTGGGGGGGTCAGAGTCCATCAGCATGGGATTGTGTCAGCCTTGGACCCCAGGCCACATGGCCATGTCAGATAGTTTCTTGGCAAGGATGTGTGCAAGGGGAAGAGGTCACACAGTGAGACAGGAAGCCAGATAGTGGGGAGGGCCACTCTTGCTCTTTCGTGGCAACCTTCTGGGTCCCATATAGAACTAATTCCTTCTGCTGGCCTAGCACCCAATGACCTACTGACCCCTAAAGGAGCCTCATCTTAAAGGCCCCACCACCTCTTAATATCCCCACACTGGAGATGAAGCTTATAACACATGAACGCCTCAGTCCTCAAGCACACTGTAGCACCATCTAACTATCCTCAACATCATCTCTGTGAAGGTGACATATTCATAGGTCCCAGAAACAGAGTTTTATTACCTTTAAATTTCATTTCCAAGGGAATAGTTAAGGAGGAATTGCAAATTATTTGTTTTAAAAAAAAGGAACTATCAGTATAGTTATCTTATCTTCTTCTTCCTAAACTGGCTTGGAGGAACCTTTTTTTGGCCCGAATCCTGAAGCAGAAAAACATGGGTTTGCATGTTTTTTGCCCCTGCCTGATTGCGTGACCTTGGGCTACTGTATCAATTTCCTTGTCCCTCAAGTGAGAGTCTCAATAATGTGACAAGAAGAAATGCACCTAAAGCAGCCTGACCCAGGGACAAGGACATGCCACCCTCACCAATGCTCAGGGCTACAGAAGCACAGGAAGGGGCATCTTACCTGGCCAGGGCCAGGGAGGACTTCCTGGAAGAGGCAACCCCTGAGTGTGAGGGGATGTTCAGCAACTTTTTCTTTTTGTTTGTACTGGGGTTTGAATTCAGGGCCTTTCACTTTCTAGGTAGGTGCTCTACTGCTTGAGTCACCCCACCAGCTTTTTTTTGTGTTGGGTAACTTTTGAAGTAGGATCTTGTGAGCTATTTGCCTTGAACTGGCTTCAAACCAAGATCCTCCTAATCTCTGCCTCCTGAATAGCTAGGATTACCAGCACACAACTCAGCAACTGGGGTTTTTTTGCAGTACAGGATTTGAACTCAGGGCCTCATGCTTGCTAAGCAGGTGCTCTACCACTTGAGCCACTCCCCAGCCCAGTAACTGTTTTTAATAGTTGTACAACTTTGTGAGACTATAAGGATGAGGCTAACGATGTTTAAATAAGTTATGATAAAAAAATGATACCAAATGGAAAGGGCTCTACAGTATGCTTTCAGTTCTTTCCCCTCCCCACTCTTTTTTTTTTTTTTTTTTGATGGAACTGGTGTTTAAACTCACTGCTTATTTTGGAGCTGGGGATCTCATGAACTATTTGCCTGGGCTGGCCTTGAACCACAATCCTCCCAGTCTCAGCCTCCCAAATAGCTAGGATTACAAGAGTGAGCCACTAGAGCCTGATCTTCTCCCGACTCTTATAGGTCAGAATCAAGCCACAATCTGTTTCCAAAAAAGGGTATAGAAGGGTCACACTTTTAAGTCAAGACAGAATGGCATCAAACAGGATCACTAACCTGACTTGCTGAGCCACTCTGGAGCCTGAGATGAAAGGAAAAACCATTAATAAAGCACTGATCCCAGCCTTATTTACATTTTGATTTTTTTGCTCCTCATGAATTTTTTGCATTGATATTGGTATCATTAAGTGTATTAAAATATTATTTGTCTTGATCACTGATTTGGGGGGACATATTCTTACATTTGGCACCTTCACACTTATCCCAGACCTATCCCTGAGGCTTTTCAGGATTTTGTTGTTGTTGCTATTTGTTTGTTTGTTTTGAGACATGGTCTCCTTATGTAGACCAGGCTGGCCTGGAACTTGCAATCCTCCTGGCTCAGCCTACAGAGTGCTGAGATTATAGGCATGTACCACCAGGCCTAGCCCCCCTGAGGCTTTTCTTAAGGACCATTCCTGGCTCTACAGATGGTACAAAATGAGATATGAATAGTTTATGACAGTACCAGGTAACACTTGCTGTGTGCATGTGGGTAGGACCAGGCTATGAGATCTTGGAAAGGCCACTGCCTAGAGGGCAGGAAGGGCTTTAGGGGGAGATGTCTGGCAAGAGCTGTGGGAGAAAGGCCTGTCAGCAGGAGGAGGAAGTGAGAAGGGATGGGAGTGGAGAGGCAGACAGGGCCAGGACAGGGGAACTGGGGAACTAGAATGTGGTTTGTAGACAGGTAGCGGGCTCAGATCTAGGTAGGAATGGTGTCTACAGAGGCAGTTTCTCAAAAGGCAATTGCTAACCCAGGAGCACCAGCCTGTCAGCCTTACCTGGGAGCTCCCTAGCTATTCAAATTTTCTAGCCCAACCCCTAACTCTCTGGAGGGTTGGGCTTAGGGCTTGTGTTTTCTTCAGGCGATTCTCAGACTTTCAATTTTGAGAACTAAGGTAAAGGAGACATAGAAAAACAATTCGTAACAAAACCAGCTGTACTGACATAACCAAAAGCTTGCACTGGTACCTGTTTATAGTGAATGAATGCACTTGGCTTTGAGAAGTAAGATATTCCCCCATTGTATTGGGTCATGTCCACAACTTGGCCTTAAGAGTTGATGTTTTGAAATAAGTGTGCTACACACACGTGGCTCATGCTGACACACGCACATTGTTCTATTTTAACATGATTGATTTCTGAAGACTAGGAGGAAAATACTTTGTGTTGCTATAGGAAGTGGAGTTAGGTTTCCACTTCAGATAATTGTAAATGGGTTTTTCACCCAATAGGTCCTGTAGGAAAGAGCAGGAGCTTCACGCCTGTAATGCTAGCTACTCAAGCAGAGATCAGGAGGATTGCAGTTCAAAGCCAGCCCAGGCAAGTAGTTCAAGAGACCCTATCTCAAGAAAACTCATCACAAAAAAGGGCTGGTGGAGTGGCTCAAGATGTAGACTCTGAATTCAAACCCCAGTACCACAAAAAAAAAAAAAAAAAAAAAGCAGGAACTGCCCATCCAGTGCACTGCATGCAGTACATTTAGTATTCCTGGCTCCTGCCCCCTAAAGGCCAGTGACTCTTCTGTCTCATCAGTAAGACAACAAAAAACATTCCTACAAACCATCCCTTCCCCTACGAAAATCCCCTATGAGAATAGTGCTGAGGGCCAGCTCCAGGATCTGTGGAGGCGCAGTGAGAGACCTAGGGGAGGCAGGGAGAAGAATCCAGAAGCTGCGTGGGTTTCTGGTTTGGTGGTGTGATGGATGGTGGAGTCATTTGAATCCCTGCGTTTGGGAGAGCTTGTGCAATAATCACCCAGGGCACCTCTCCACAGGACTGCAGCAAGCACCGCGCCCTCTACCCCTGCATCCCACAATCCATCCTCCACGCGGCAGCCAGAGCGGTCATTCCAGAGCGGGCCCTGACTGGCCCGCCACTCCTCCTGCTTCCCCTCCCTGGTCGCGCAGGCCTGTGGCTGACAGCCTCCTTCCTGTTTCCGAGCCTCTGGACAGGTGGACCCCCAGGAGGCCGGGCTGCCTCCTCTCCTTTCACCTGTTAATCCAGACCACAGTGCAGGCCTCGGAGAGAATCTCCTTGCCTAAGGAAGACTTCCCTGACCCCCTAGCCTCCACCGTCCACCCAAACAGGTGGGTTTCTGGGCACACAGAAGGAATTCATAGAAAAGATGAGCTTTAAAAAAAAAAGTCATTTTATTTTTGGCAGTGCTGGGACTGAACCTTGGCAGGCACTCCACCACTGAGCCACACCCCGCCCACAAGCAAACTACTTTTTTTTCTTTTTTTTTAATTCATATTTGCATACAATGTTTGGGTCATTTCTCCCCCCTTCCCCCACCCCCTCCCTTAACCCCCAGCAAACTACTCTTTAAAGTATATTTAACAATCCGATGAACTCTGTGAAGTCCCGGAGATCAGGCCTGATGCCCCGATCTATTGCTTACGGTTACACAGTCAACGCTTAACATTTATTAGGGGCTCAACAAGAATGTCATAAATAGATGGAGAGGAGGAGAAGCGAAGGAATTTCCGCCAAGACAGGGCGCAGGCAAGGTCCGGGGGCGGGGGTCTTTTATTTCCTGCTCACCGCATCTCCCACCCTCTGCGCAGTGCTGGCTGCACGGTCCCCAGACCTCAGTTTCCCCACCCTGGCCTGCGCTGCGAGCAGGCCTCCGGGATTCCCCCAGCAGAGGCGCGCGGGACGTGACCAACCAGCTCGCGGCTCCGCGCACGCGCGCCGCTCCGCCCCGCCCACCAGCCCCGCCCACTCCGCTCGGCCCGCTCAGCGGGCCGGGTGCGCGCCGGCGCGGGAGGCGGGGGTGGGGGCGGTGGACGCCTAGGGCGAGGGGCGGGCCCGGCCCGGCTCGGCCCGGCCGCCCGCGCGCGGCTCTTGGAGGCCCCGGGCCCGGCCCGGTGGCGGCGGCGGCAACTGTAGCTCGAGGCCTCGGCGGCGCCCGTGCGCCGCGCCGCAACCATGGCCCTGGTGACCCTGCAGCGCTCGCCCACGCCCAGCGCCGCGTCCTCCTCGGCCAGCAACAGCGAGGTGAGCCCGGGCCGCCGGGTCGGGGCCGGGGCCGGGGCCGGGGGGTGGGGTTCCCGGGACCCCTCTGTGCCAACCGGCCTTAGCCGCCCGACTGCGGAGACAGCGCGGGACACTACGTGACAGGGACCTCTGTCCGGGGTCCGCAGTGCAGGGACCCTGTGTGCGGCTGAGACTCCTAATTGAGCGACTGCGCGAGTCGCTGGTTCCGAGATCTGTGACCCTGGGCAGGTCTAGGCCTCTGCTTGGGTGCCGGGCCGTGTGTGTGACACTGTGTGTGACTTTGGTCCGTGTGCGACGCTGCGACCTGTCCGCTGGGGACTGTGCCTGGGTGATGCTGGGTGAGCGTGGCCTCCACGGGTGACCCTGCAAAGGTGTGATTGTTTCCCTGACTGCAGCCTTTGGAGTTTTGTGCCTTTTGGGTGCCTGTGTCCCTGTGTGACCGTGACTGAGCATGCTCCGAGCTCTGCGATGCTGGGTCTCACGTCTGTGTGTGGCTGAACTGGATTTTTCCTTTGTATCCTTTCGTTGGGGCTATGTGTTAATGGCTGTTTGTCTGCGTGGCTCTGGGCCTTTCTGGGGTTTAGTGGTTGTAGGGGTGCAGTCCTGCCAAGGGTGCATGACTGCACTGTGCGAGTCAGCTGCCTCCATGGTTTGGGTTAATGGGGAAAGTGACCCCCTGTAAGTCTGCAGAATGGGACTGAGTTGCCGTAGGCCAGGAGACTCAGGCCTCTGAGCAGGTCACTCCAGCAGCTGCAAGGCTGGCCCTCTTGGCCAGCAGTGTCAGCCATCCTCTATTGGAGGGCCACTGTAGTGGCTGCCCTAAGGCTAGGAATTTAGACCAGAGGTCTTAGAGTTCCCTGTACTTCTGTTCAGGGAAGGCAGAGGAGCTGCCCTGCAGGCTCAGGGAGTTGCCAGCCTGCATCTGGGTTCTGCACATCACATCGGCTCTAGGGGTGGCAACCTGACTCTTAACACCCCTGTGAGACAGAGGAGGACTTGAACTTGGCTTAGAAGCCTGCCTCCCTGCATTGATGCTTTTCTGCCTTCTTTTGCTGGGATTGGCAGAAACATTTGCAGAGTGGCTGTGAGGTTGAACCTCCAGGCCACCTCCTTGCTGAGGAGAGGCCATTAATGAGTTATCTCTTCTACAGTCAGAAGGTTCTAGTCACCCCCCCACCACCAAACACACCTCTGAGCACTGATGAGAGGCAAAATAACATTGGCGGTCTAAGTTAGGATGCAATAGCGAATCTCCTCCCCCAGAGAGATTTGTCCTGCATCATTCCTGTGACTGCTGTCTGGCAGTTTACAAAGTACTTAATCTCATGTTCTTTTCACAAAAACTGTGTGAGCTGAGGGAAGAGCTTGGCTTCAGGAAGGGGCTGTACAGAGCTGCTCAGCCTGGATTTCCGATTCTAAACTCCATGCTCCTAGTAACTTAGCATCTGATCTGATCTGTTCCTGTCTTAGACACATTTAAACATCTGTTTTATTTTAAAATTTTATTTGCTTATTTATTGCATACTGGGGATTGAACCCAGGGCCTAATTTATGCTGGACAAGTAAGTGCTCTACCACTGAGCTGTACCCCAGCCCTAAGTTTTTATTTAGTGATATAATTCGCATACTGTAAATTCACCATTTTAAAGTGTACAGTTCAGTGGTTTTTAGTATATTCACAAGATTGCATGGTCATCACCACCAAACCTGATATGCCTTAGCCATCAGCTACAGCCTGACTCTGTCTCGTTCTTCCCAACTCTAGCAACCACGAAGCTACGCTCTCTTTGGATTTGCCTGTTCTGGCTACTTCATGTAAATAGAACCATGTAATAGGTGGCCTTTTGTGCCTGGCTTCTTTCACTTAGCGTGATGGTTCATGCTAAGTAGTCCATTCTTTTTCATGGCGAATAATATTCCATTGTTTGCATGTACCACATTTTGCTGGGCATTCTGCTCGTTTCCACTAGACACATACACAAAGCGTTGTTTATTAGCAAGTGCCAATGAATGACTCAATCAACAGGCCAAAACTCCAGCCAACTTTTCTTTTTTCTTTTTCTTTTTTCAGAACTGGGGTTTGAACTCAGGCCTACACCTTGAGTCACTCCACCAGTCTTTTTTTGTGAAAGGTTTTTTTGAGATAGGGTCTCTGAAACTATTTGCCCTAGCTGACTTCGAGCCATGATCCCCTTGATCTCAGCCTCCTCAGTAGCTAGGATTACAAGTGTCAGCTACCAGCATTTATTGCCCAGCAAAGCAGCAGAGGCTGGGATGTTCCTGAGAAGGTGGGGCCATCTTCCAAATGTGCTGAAGCCAGAAACCAAAGTGCAGAGAACAGGTGTGCATGGAGTCAGGAGGGCTGGGTCCAGATCAGGCCCTGCCTGTGCCTCAGTTCATCTAAAAGGCCTGGATTACCATCCCTCCACCCCAGGGCAGTACTGGCGCTTGAACTCAGGGTTACCACTGTACAACTTCAGCCACACCTCCAACCCTTTTTGTTTGGGGTTATTTTTCAGATAGGGTCTGGATTTTTTCCCCAGGCTGGCCCGAGACAACTGTGATCCTCCTACCTATGATGGAGGAGTAGCTGGGATTACAGGCATGACCCACCATGTCCAGGCATGGGTTCTCTTGACGATGCTTTTTGTCATCTATAACTTCTGTGGAATAACTGACCTTACATTGCCTTTCATTGGAGAACTTCAGAGGGTGAGTGAGAATTAAATGGTTATGGAATCTGTACCCCAAATCACTTCATCACTCATCAAATCGCAACTTCTTCAATGAGTCAGACATATCAGTGGTTTCTTGACCCAGCCAGGCTGGCTGCAAGTCGTGGGAAACCACAGCTCTCGGCCCTAAAGCAGCTCTCCCTCTCTTAATTTTGTCCTTTTTTTTTGCTTTCTCAATCTTTAATTATCTCATCTATGTCATTTTCCTGTTAACCTCATCTCAGCCCCTTGTGAGAAGAGCAGAGCAGAGGAGAGCAGAGGACTAGATGGATCAGTGGTTTTCAGGAGAAGATGGGGACATTGTTATTGTTGAAAAATGTTCAAGGTGACTAATTGGGCAGATCTCCAGGCACTTTTTGGGATGGACAGAGGTCTCTCAACCTCAGCACTTTGACACATGGCAGAACACTCTCTGTGGCGGGGTGTCCGGTGCATTGTGGGATGCTTACCCTCCTGTCTCCTACCCACTGTGCCTCTGTCTGAGTTTGTCCTGTTAATTATTTCATTTGCCATACTGCAGGACTGTTACCCAGGACCCTATGGCTAGCAGAGCCTCCCTGGTTTCCCTCTGCTCCTTGGGTGGGGGTGAGGGAGTGTGTGTGTCTGTGTCATTCCGTGTACGCATTCTTTTAGTTCAGTTTAGGGACTCCAGTGCCTCTGGCATGCTCATCCTTGGTTGTGTGTCCCTTGCTGCCCCTCCTCGTCCCTGCTTTAGCTGTGACTGGTTTCCTGTCGTCTTTGGCTCTGCCTCCAGCCTTGAGTCTCCCCCAGCCGGCATACTGTTCCAGGTTCCCATTCCCTTCAGGGGGCATCTCTGTGGACCATGAGAACACCAAGTTCCCATGGGGCGGCATTGTCAGGGTGTGTGTTTTCTTCTCATTTTCAGTTTTCTCCATGGAAAAAAAGGAAAGAAAAATAGTGATTGGGGCTGAAGTCATTGTTACTTTTGGAGTTCAACCTCTTGACCTTTAGCTTTTAGAAAATATTAACTGTCCCTTTGTTTCATTTATACAAATAAACCAACAGCCTCAAATATTTCATATTAAGCACTTAAGCTTTTTTGAGAACTAGCAAGAGTTTTTGGGACCTATGAAAAGATAGCCTGATTCCTGGCTGCCTTCCCCAGTAAAAGACTTGCCAGGAGTGGACTCCACTCCCAGCCCGCCCCCCCAGATGTAGTCTTGCTGTATTGCTCAGGCTGGTTTTGAACTCTTGAACTGAAGTGATCCTCTTGCCTGAGCCTCCTTAATAGCTGGAGTGACAGGTGTGTAGCCTGGCCTTAGAGTGGGTTTTTATTCATTTGTTTATCTTTGGATTTTTTTTCTTTTTTTTTTTTTGAGATGGGTCTAACCTCTCAAAGGTAGATTTTTATTTTACAGTGTTTTGTGGCGGTACTAGGGTTTGAACTCAGGGCCTTGTGCTTGCTAGGCGCTCTACTACTTGAGTCACTCCGCCAGCCTTTATGTTCGCTGTTTTGAGATAGTGTATTGCTTTATGCCCAGGCCGGCCTGGACTGTGATCCTATTTGTGCTTCCCTTCATAGCTGGGGTGACAGGCGCTCCGTTGGTTGAGATGGGCTTTTGCTAACTTTTGCCTGCACTGGCCTCAATCCATGATCCTCTAGCTCTCCGCCTCCCAAGTAGGTAGGATTATAGTCATGAGTCATGTGCCCAGCCTATGGGATGAATTTTTTTTCTTTTTCTTTTTTTGGTGGGACTTGGATTTGAACTCAGGACTTCATACTCGAAAAGCAGGCGCTTTACTGCTTAAGCTACACTTCTAGTCCATTTTGCTCTGGTTCTTTCGGAGATGGGGTCTCATGAGCTGTTTGCCTGGATGGGCCCCCATCTGAGATCCTCCCAGTCTCACCCGCCCAAGTAGCTAGGATTACAGGTGTAAGTCACGGTGCCCAGCTACAGAATGGATTTTTAAAATGGTATTCCTTGCTCAACTGTTGCCTGGCTTACAGAGGAATTGAATTCTCTTAAAAGACAGCTCCCTTCTCATAAAAGCCAAACAGGGTAAGATCCAGAACCAGTCTGGAAAGTTGAGAGCTGAGGGCTACAAGAGTGTGCTGGGTACCCATGCCAGATGGGAAATACTCAGTTCATAGGGATCTACCCTGAGACGGGCAGGAATGTGGGTTACCTTTTGGGAACGTAAAAATTCCTTGGTGTAGAAATCATTCAGAGGAGCAGCAGATCAGGGTGGTGAGGAAGGAGCAGGACTGTTTGGAAGTAACCAGGTTTCCTGGGCATCGTTATCTTTTCCCGACACCAGAGTAGAGACAGGAGCCTGCCCCTGAGGCTGGGTGATAGTGGTGTCTGTGGTGTGATGATCTCCTTCTTTCTCTGTAGCTGGAGGCTGGCAGCGACGAGGATCGAAAGTTAAACCTCAGGTAAGCAGACTTTTCAGTTTTGTTCTGAAGTCTTCCAAGCAGGTAAGGGATACTTTTATTGCTTTCTCAAAGGGAAAATCCTCAATAAGAATACAATGTTTTTTTTTTTTTTTTAGTGCTTTCAAAATTATACATAAAGCATATTCCAAAATCATGCTTTAAAAATGGTGCATGTTGAACTGGTTTGGTAGTGTACACCTGTAGTCCCAGTTGAGGCTAAGGCAGGAGGATTGGGACTTTGAGACCACTATATAGCAAGACCTTGTTTCAAAAAGATCAAATGAAAAATAAAAATTATACATGTTTAACTGTTAACAGCTTTTTTTATTGGAGTGGGGGAGAGGATGCTGAGTTTCATATGCCGGGCTTCAAACATGTTAAGCATCTGAGCTGTATCCGCAGCCTATAGACGGCTTTAATAACACCGTGTCATGTTCAGAAAAGACAGCAAATAAGTATCACTGTTCTACCATGTCATCATCACCATATGAACACCTTCCTGTGTTTTTATTTTCTTGTAGAGTTTCCCTGCTCTTATTTATTTATTTACTTATTTATTTTTTGGCGGTAGTGGGGTTTGAACTCAGGCCTACACCTTGAGCCACTCCACCAGCGCTTTTTTGTGATGACTTTTTTCAAGATAGGGTCTCGCAAACTATTTGCCTAGATTGGCTTTGAACTGCGATCCTCCTGTGCTCTGCCTCCTGAGTAGCTAAGATTTTAGGCGTGAGCCTCCCAAGCTTGGCTTTTCCTCTGCTCTTTAAAAACACTTGCCCTCACTTTGTCATCCTGCTTTTGGCAAGGTATCCCTCTGAGGTGAGCACATTGCTCATTTGAAGCAGATATGTATCCTCCTGCACTTAATCCAGGTGGGTTTTTTGCATGTGCTTGTGAGAAATCTTTAACTATACTCATTTTTTAAAAATGTCTTACATGTGGTCTTCATGGCTAGTGAACAAGAAGAACATTTTGGTTTCTCTTTGCCAAGAATTAAGGTCTTCCTCTCATTGGGAGCGTGCTGGTGTGCAGAAGTTCCAATTCTTCATACAACGTATTCCTTTGCAGCAAGGAGCCAGGTTTGAAGTCCAACTGCAGAATGTGAAAACAGTAAACGAACTCAGGGATATCATTCTTTAAAAACAAATATCTGTTTTATCTTGTAGGGAGGAAGAACATTAATTGGAAAAGGAAATAAGTATTCAGAAACTGGGGTCAGCCACTCATTACGGAGAGCAGGATTTTCTCTGGCTAAACTCACGCAGAAGTGGTAGATACATCGCCAGCCCTTCTTTGAAGTTTCCACGCATTTGAGGGCAGGGAGGGAAACCATTCTCTGTGGCACGCACTACTTGTAAAGATTACACGAGTAGGAAAACACTAGCCTGCAGAATTCAGAGAGAGGCCTCACTACAATTGCTGGATCCTTGTGTGTGATGTTGGGCTCAGGACAAAGGATAGGCTGGCTCTTTCACCGGGGTTCCCAGACTAGAAACAGCTGCACTCCCAAGTGGGGTTGGATATGGATCTTGCTGCATTAGTCTCTCTGAGGGGAGGGGTGAGGGGGAAGGGAAGGGGAATCCAGCCGCCAGCAGAGGAACTGGGGGAGGAACTTCTGACCTCCCTGGGCAATTTGGGCCTCTGCAGCTGCGGGGGCCCACGCTCCCTCCCTCCCCGCTGCACCCCACAGCCCTTTCCTGGGGTCAGAATTCTTCCACTTATCCTTTTCCGTCTGGGCTGTTGTCCAGGCATAGCGTTGAGCTCTCTCACTTAGACTGGCTTTGGGCATTGAACTAATTTTGGTTTTAATTAACCTTAATTAGCTGACAGAATGGTATTTGGAGTTGTTTGCTGCTAAGAAATGAGAAGCGGTCATGGTGTGAAATGTGGATGGGACCCTTGCTCACGAACGAAAGACCCATTCCTCTACCTGACTTTACAAAAGGATGGGAAGTAACTTCCCAGCAGTGTTATATGTTGTCCTATTTGAGCTTTCATTTTTGGCAGAACTGGGTTTTGAACTGAGGGCTTTGTGCTTGCCAAACCAGATACTCTACTGCTTCAACCACACCTCAAGTCCATTTTGCTCTGTTTATTTTGGAGATAGGGTCTCACAGACTATTTGCCTGGGCTGGCCTCGAACCACTATCCTCCTGATCTCAGCCTCCCAAGTAACTAGGATATATAGGCGTGAGCCACCAGTGCCCAACTTGATCTTCAAAACAACCCTAGAGGGGTCTTTAACCAACTCCGGGTGAGGAGACTGAAGTCCAGTGTTGCTTGTGGGAAATGCTGCATTCAAAGTGAGAACTCTGTCACCTGTAACACTGGGTTTATGGACCAGGCCACTTCTGCCGACCAGGTTAGTTGTCTAGTTGAACATGCTGGCTTGGGCCCACAGGTGAGGGAACTTACAAAGAGCACCCAGGTGGCTCAACACAGAGCTAGACCCAGAACCCAGGACTCTTGCTAACCCAAGGTAGATGCCTCCCAGGATACCAAATCACTCTGTCCACTGTGTCCCTCTCTGCTTCTTACAGCAGGCTCCCAGAGTCACTGGGACCATGGGGAGAGCTTGGGCTAGAGCAGTGGCCTGGGTTCTCATTCCTGGTGGGATTCCGCCTTCCCATTTCAGCCCCTTGACAGTTGACACACCTCCTCCCTGCTTTCCAACGCTCTTGGCCAAACAAGAGCACTCTTGTTTGACGGAATTGATTCACTTCCTGTGCTCATCTGTACTCTCAGGCCCATTCTCTCTGAGCCTCTAGAGAAAAGCAGAGGGGATGTTTAGTTGTTTTTGTTTGTTTGGAGCAGGAAGGTGAGGGAGAGATTTCTTTTTGCTCCAAATTGGTCCATAAGGTAATTGCCATTATTTAGTTTCTTCTCTCTCTCTCTTTTTTTTTTTTTTTTTTTTTTTGACAAGGTGTCCCTATAAAGCCCATGCTGTCTCCTGTCTCAGCCTCCTGGGTGCTGGGACTCACCACCATGCCTTGGTGAATAATTTAGTTTCTAAAGAGTGCTGGTAGGGCAAGAAACCGAGGAAGGTGGGAATTCCTCTCTTCTCCTTTCTCCTTTCTGTCTACCCTTAATTACAGCTGGTCCTCCTCCTCAGAGTCTACAGACTCCTTCTCAACTGCAGATTGAGAAGAAAATTCCAGGTAAATGTTCCATTGTTCCTGGCATGCACTGTGTAGTTGGGTGTACAATAGTGGCAGGTGAATTGAACATGTACAGACTTTTTTCTTGAGCACCTACAGATTTTGGTATCTGCAGAGGGTGCTGAACTCCTCCCCCATGGATAGTGGTAACAGTGCAACCTTTCAGGTGACCCAGGAAGTCAGATTGAGTCATCTCTGTGCCACAGTTTCCTAAATCCCATGGGTTGGGTGTTTTGAGTCTCACCTACCTCCTCTTCCTGTGTCTCCTTGGTGTGTCCCCTACCTCCTGTGTATTGCAGGGCCACCCATCAACACCTCACTCTATGCCGGTGCATCATCCCCATGGTCCTTTGCTTCTCCTTCCTGGTCTCCGGCATCTTTTCTGCATTCCATCTTTCCTTCCCCATACTGTTTTTTCCATCTGACAGAACTATCCCTGCCCCCTTATCATGCCCTTTCCCCAAGTCAGTTCCTTTTCTAGTGGCTACATTCTTCATGGTCTGCTAAAAGTGCTCCCATGCCAAATGTGTGTGACTTCCCTCTTGTCACAGAAAGCAGGTAGCTCTCAGTTCCTCTTGTGACAGAGGCTGCCACACCTAGCTCATGTTGCAGCTGTGTGTGTTTTTGACCCATCCCTAACCCCTGGTGCTCTCTTTAGTGACAGGGCCTTGTTCTCTGCTTGCACATGGCATTTGAACAGTTGGGAAGATTTTGCCTTAAATTGCAGACATAGGTGAAATAGAGGGAGCAGAAGAAAGTGGATGGGGCTCAAAGTCACGCAGGCCCATGTGGCATCTGGCTCGCACTCCCCCACCAGTAGCCCAGCTCCCGTACCTCTGTGTCTCAGCTGTGAGACAAAAAAATGCCACTGCTTCAGGGCTGTGTGTGAAGCTTCTTGTGCAGTCAGGGGCACTTGGGCTTGGTGGCACAATAATCTGGTCTTCATGTCTTCATAAGGTGTCACTCACAGACACTGTAGTTCCCAGCATGGAGGAATGAGCGGGCTGACGTGTGTCCTCTCCTAGGGTGGGGATATGGGAGTGGGCACCACGCATACACTGTGGCTGGGAGCAGCCACTGTGTTCCTATAAGATGCACACAGTGAGGAATCCAAGTAGCAGTCCTGACAGTTTCTCTGCGGGCCTTCTGGCAAATACCTCAGGAACTGATCATCTCTGTCCCAAAGAAGATGCTGGATGCTGAGCAGGAGAGGCCTAGGCTTCCCTCTCCATCCCTTCTGTGTCGTACATGCTGTGGGCTCTTGCTGTGCCCTTCTGGAAGCAGCACTGTTCTGACTGTGGGAATCAGTGAGCAGATGTCTCTGCTGGCAACAGCTCCTGGCTCCCTTGCCATCCTGGGAGCCAGCTCAGGTTGGCATGAGACCCAAGAGGTTGTTCCAGGCAGGGCACTGGAGAGATGAGATGGTTGTGTGGTCCCCAGGGAGTGGGTCAGGAGTGAATTTCTTTCTCTTTAATCTTGTGTTTCCAAGTGAAGTACATGAACACGCTCGGTAGAAGTCTTTAATGCTCTCTTCACTCACCTGCCTGAGCAAACGTTTGGCAGAGAGCATCACGACTTGATCGTCTCCATTTTATTTGATTTTGGTGGTAGGCTATAAACCCCCTTTCACCCCTCTCCACCTCCCACACCATACTTCTTCCCCTTTTGGTCTTGACCTAGCATTCCCTAGAAGACCCCACATCTGCTGCAGCCAGAAGTGTGGCTGTGTCTTCTCACCATACCCCACAGTGTCGGGGTGGGGCAGAGTTAGCTGGTCCTTGCTTTGCAGACCACGCTTCCTCTTCTTCATTGAGTGCTCCAGCTTGTGCCCTGTCCACCCTCGGG